TATTTTCAGGTTAGGGGCGCGTCCTAGGTCTGAATGTACGACACGTGCCCGCTTATTGACGTGACGTACTTGTCTTGCGGGTACCTAATAGAACATTGTACAACCAGTTCAAGCAGTTATATTTATGGTAATATGGAAGTTCTGTGAGGTCCGGGCTTGCATGCGTAGACAAATGAAAAAGATTTGGTGCCAGCGCCTCTGGATCCGAACCATTTATTGTGGTGCTCGGTCGGATCCCGTGCGGCACTGCTCTGTTATATGAACCATCTGCTGGCACCGGCAAAAGGTTGATCTCGCACGCAAACACTGGAGGGCACAAGAGCAATCTGCAAGCAGACGCGGTTGTTCAAGAATTAGGTTGCCACCAGATGTGTTGAGGACGCACTGAATGTTGAACTGATACATCCCTGTAATGATCTCTGATCGATTGTGGAGATCGAAAGCTTTTAATGTGCCCTGGAACTCTAATTTGGATCGCATGTGGGTCGAGCTTTTGCAATAATCCGCACATGCTAACATCAGTGATACGGTTCTTACGGATTTATATTGTTGATATGGTATGAGCGCTTAAGAGCATGAAGGGAATGTTGCTACCCACAACCTTTTTTCTGCGAGCATGTGCTTACGAATACCCTCCTCAGTGACATTTGTGCGCATTCCTGTTCTAAAACGCGTGTAGAAGGATCACTGTCATTAAGCCCACCTACCGATAAGTTCCCATGGGGGAGGGGGGACGGGCGTTGCCAGGCATCCCGCACCCCGCAGCCGTCTGACGGGTGTTGGGCGTCACCGCCCTCTGCCCGGCGCCGGTGGCCGAACATAACACCTCCCCAGCATCCCGGACCCCGCGGCCGTCCGGCGGGGTGTTGGGCGTCACCGCCCTCTGTCCGGCGTCTGCGGCCGACATGCCCCAGCATCCCGGATCCCGCGGCCGTCCGGCGGGATGTCAGGCGTCACCGCCCTCTGTCCGGCGTCTGCGGCCGAACATGCCCCAGCATCCCGGACCCCGCGGTCGTCCGGCGGGTAGTCAGGCGTCACCGCCCTCTGTCCGGCGTCTGCGGCCGACATGCCCCAGCATCCCGGATCCCGCGGCCGTCCGGCGGGGTGTCAGGCGTCACCGCCCTCTGCCCGGCGCCGGTGGCCGAACATGCCCCAGCATCCCGGACCCCGCGGCCGTCCGGCGGGGTGTCAGGCGTCACCGCCCTCTGTCCGGCGTCTGCGGCCGACATGCCCCAGCATCCCGGATCCCGCGGCCGTCCGGCTGGGTGTCAGGCGTCACCGCCCTCTGCGCGGCGCCGGTGGCCGACATCCCCCAGCACTGGGACGCGCGCAGACTCCCGCGCCCGTCACAAGTGCGGAACCCGCGCGTTTAGCGTGAATGCGAATATGCCACGGACTCACAGCATGGCCATGATCCTCACACCGGTGCTAACGCTTATGCGCCGTCGTAGCCGCGTGATTTGATCAGCCAGCCATCTGCGCCAGTTCGTGGCCGCTGATTGACGCTCCCCGGTGTGTGTGGCGGCCCGTGCAGTCTGTCGTCGGTACGCGGGTGGAGAGTGCGGCACCATGCTGCGGCGGAGGGCAGAAGCGCAGATGGGGGCCTCGCAAGGTGACCTATACGAATAAGCCAGACCTGTTGATTGCTGACCGCAGTCTGCGCGTCGCGTCCGCTGACTCCGTGTTGGCTGGCTTCTGGTGAGGATCGCGTGTACTTCCATAGGCGCCATAGGTTCAGAAGTTCCACTTCCCCGCTGCGTTCGCCTAGGAAATTTGGCACGCGGAACGGGCAGGCTCTTGGTGGCAAACTATCAGCACGGTTCGTTGCGAGTGCGCCACGAAGCGTGAAGGGAGTTGGCGTTTGAGAGATCCAACGCGAGCCGACCCAGTGCTTTTAGCGGGCGTACAGCTTCGCAGCCCACAAGCATAGCAGGATGGCCTTTTCATTGGAAGATGGCCTCATCTTGTAAAATTTGTGTCGTGGCGACGACGTTGTCTCGTTTTAAATGTATGGTGCCCGCGAACATCATCGTGTAAAATTGAATGACGTTTATCACGGATGGATTGATCATCGTACCAGTCCCTTACAAGTAAAGAGTGTGTGACAATGTGACAACCACGCAGCGTGACAGTACGTGATGCCACGATAAGTTCATAGCATTTTTCAGTGCAAGCATAGGCACAGCTTTCCTGGGTTCGTCTTGATGAACATAGCCGTTCGAAGCGAGTCCCAGCGGCACACCTCGTAAGCATCTCAAGCTTGGAATAGTGTCAGTAAAACGTATGTTTGTAAACTTACATCGGTCATTGATTGGTATGCTTGAAAGGTCTCGTCTTGAAAGGCCCCGTTAAGGTCGTTAGTGTCGCGCGACAGTGCTCCGTCTTTCGACGTCGGTGATGACGGTGGAGTCGTGTGTCGCGCGGTCTGGGATGTGACCTACCCGCCGTGCCTCCCGAAACGCCGCACTGGCAAGCGTGGTGTCCAGTCTGTGCTGGTATCTTCGGAAGTGGGAGACATTCGCTGATTCGTCCAGGCGTGTGGCCAGACGGTCGTGTGAGGCTCTGAGAGTTCGCTGTGAGTGGTTTGTTCCGGTTGAAATGGTTTTCCACATCGTTCGCTGTCACTGCAGAAATAATAATGAACGCTGTATGGGTCTACCTGGCAGTTGGTGATCAGTTTGCGGGCATAACGGGCCACCTCTTGCCGAGCTGGCTGGCCTGTCGCCTCCATACGCGCTTCTGAGTACGGCCCAATCGGCACATATGTTTGTGATGGTTCTGTCCACTGGAGCTCTGTTTGGGATGCTGAGATTTACCGAGGGGCTTTTGTCCTGTCACTTGATGTTACTTACCACCGACTGTGACTGTGACAGGTTTTCTGCGAATTCTGGGAACTGTCTGTGAATTGGTGTGGCACGATGCTCCGTTAAATCAGAGTGGACGTTCTACGTTGTCAATTTCACGTACTGCTGGAAGCCCTGGCCAACTCCCGCCTTTGGTCGAATCAATACCAATTGTATTGTAAACGTGGTCGACTGCTTAGGTCACCGCTGGTTCGTAGCCTCTTGGACCGATCGGTCTGTAGAAGCCAGTGCATTGGGCAGCGGTCGAGAATCACACCCAGCCACCAGAACTAGGGGACAATGCAAACCAGCTTTCAACTATTCCCCCCCCCCCCCCCTACTACCGCCGGTCAGCCGTGTTCGCGCCGGGGCGGGTGCGGGATGTTTACCAGCTGAGCACGACAGGTCCGGTCTCGGTCTCACTTCGGAGGGGGTGTGGTCGGCTGCAGCTGTTCACCGTTCTATGGTGAGCGGCAATTTGTGAGATTGGTCCAGGCTGTCATTGCACACCGACCTTCGTCGCGTCATGTGCACGTGTTCATACTTTGCCAAAGAACTGCTCGGACGAGATGCGCCTCCATTGCCGTCAGGTTATTATGAAAATGCTTTTTCGCGTGGTTGTAAGGAAAAACGAAGAAGCGAAGAAAGTCAGCTGTGGTGATTTTAAACAGCCTTTTTGTGTGTGTGGGGGGGGGGGGGAGAGGGCGCGACACATTGGACCAGACCGGACCAGACAGGGCGACCAGGGTACTTCTGATGCGTTGAGATTGACCACAGACACCGTCCCTCCTTTTCCCTGCCCCCCCCCCCCCCCCCCACCCACCCACAAAACATCATTTTCCAAAGTGATTATCTGTATTATGGCTGAATGGGTAAGCCATGAGGCTAGTAAGCTTGCGGTAGCCGGTTCTCGCAGTGGTGAAATGACAGAGATGGGGACATGACAACTGTAAGGAATTGTGACAAATCTGCGTGTCGTTGGAGTTGGGTAGCGTGAAGTTGACTTGGGGAATCGGGCACGCTGTTGGATGGCCGTGATCATCACCAGCCGCGGTTGGCCGGCCTCGGGGAATCCGATTCACGGTTAGCTGACCGCGATTAGCATCAGCCGTCTCTGGCCGGCGTTAGCTGCTCACTGGGTTCATCGCAGTGGCTATGGAAACAATGGCCCTCCCTCGGATGCTTTATACTGGATTGGCTCCTCTATTGAAGCGGGTCTTTTTGCATGTTGTGTCGTGAGTAAATCTTACGTCACCACGTAATCCGTGCGACTTTTTTTGCCAGGCGTGTGTCATATGTTGCCACGAGTCTGCAAGGCGGTCTCTTTAGCATGGGCTTAGCGAGTACGCTGTGGCGATTATGGAGTTGCGATAGTGATCGGTGCGTTGCGGTGTTGTGAGCTGAAGAAAAGAGCTCAAGTAGCAGTAGTTACCTAGTTCAGTTTTTGTTGTGATTCAAAAGCTGGTTTTTGGAGCGACAGTTACGCTCATTGTCCAAAGAAAACAGAGTTAAAAACCTTTGTGGCGAGATAGTTCCCATTTTCGTTGTGGTTCAAAAGTTGTTTTTTTCGACGGATTACTTTTGCAGTGGTCCGAGAAAACAAAGTTAAAAACTTTTCTATGAGATAAATCCTGTGCGTCTTCACTCATTTCATTAACGAATTACTACATAAACAGGATGATAGAAGTGATCCCGGTAATATCCGGATTTGTACATGTTTTTATAACATTTGATAGTCATTGTTGTCGAAATGTCCCAACATTTTGCTTCTTTGCCCCAGTTAAACTTGCCGGGCAGGGCACTTTCGTAATTGAAGCGTGTGCTAGTAACAACTGGTTTTGTTGCATTCTCACTCTTTGTCGTTGAATAACTGATGTGTATCTGCAGAACTCGGCCGTTGATAGTCATCGTGTTCGATTTTCCCCATTTGCGTGAGTGTCCAATTTTCCCCAATTGCAACAGTGCGCCCAGATTCCCCAATTACAGTTTTTGTGCGACTTAGCCGTATTGCCATATTGATGAGTAAACCGGGCTTTTCTTAACAACAGCCGTCCGCTCTGGCTTCTGCGACATTGCTAGAATGCAGTGAACTCCGTTCACCGGAAGCAGCTATCTGTCGGCGACCCGTTGTAACTGAAGTGTGTTGTATTTCGCCAGGCGGGGCGAACGGCCAGCGTGGCGCCGCCATGGGCCGGCCCCAGCGCCGCTGGCTCGTGGCCCTGTGCGGCTTGGGGCTGGTGGCTGTGCTTGTGCATCAGGTGGCCTTGCCCGCCTGCCTGACCAACACAACAGGCTCGCCGCTCAAAACGGTAAGGTCGACTGAAGTGCCGAGCCGGCCGGGGCCGTGCACAGCGCGGCTGTTGAGAAAACAGTGAAGCGTGAGCCATCTGATGGCGCCTCATTGGTGTGGGCCTTGTCCATGCTCTCTCCGATCTTCTAGTTGACTTCCCCAGCTTTAAAAATTGCTTCGGGCGCAAAGCCGCACGCATGGTATTGCAACTCAACTCAACAACGGAATGTCCGAGGAGCGTGCAGCCAGTTCAGCTGGGCTTGCGCGCCCGTGCGGTGTCGCGGCGTTTGGTCGGCTGGTGCGTGCCTCGGCCGGAGTCTGCCCGGCCGTGGGCGCCGACGCTGACAGCTGACCGCGCCCGACAGCTTCGGATGGGCGAGGTGGCCGTGGACCGTGACATACCGCTCATCTTCATCGGCGGCGTGCCGCGCTCGGGCACCACGCTGGCGCGCGCCATGCTGGACGCCCACCCGCTGGTGCGCTGCGGCGAGGAGACGCGCGTCATCCCGCGCATCCTCAGCATGCACTCACACTGGAAGAAGTCGGCCAAGGAGAGTCTGCGGCTGGAGGAGGCCGGCCTCGATGACGAGGTGGGTAGCGATAGATACACCATGAACGCTGGGTAGTGATAGTCAATCGTCAAAGCTGTATTTCCACGGCCGTGTACAGCTTCCCAATGTTCCGCATTTTGTAGGTGAAATGAAATATATTTTAAATCCCTTGGGTGGGGGGGAGGGGGGGGGGGGGCCGAATGTAGTTGTCATTACCGTTAATCCTCACCCGACGGGAGCTATCTGAAGTCGCGGCAAGCGAGCAGGATGGGTCTACAATGTGGGGAATTTTCAGTTCAGATATCATTTGTTTATTTTGGAAATCATGCTGGATTGGTGCATGAAATTCTGTCGCTCCCCCGCCTGCCCTCCCTCCCCCTGTCCCAGATTTTCATCAACCTTAAATCCCCGTGAAGATCAATTAGGATCATCGAATGCTATTCATCTCCTGAAACGGTCATTGTCATTCGAGGTGCCCTGTTTCTTGATTGATAGCTTTTGTTGTATACCGATCCGGTGAACATCGTTGCCACTGATTGTCGTGGGATTTTAAAAAAAAAACGCTTCGGCCGGGAACACGTCTCGGCAGGCTTTCCAAGATGATGCAGCTCGGTATTCTGATATTGCTAGGGGCCAAACTTTGTTTGCAAAACGTGCGCAACGGTTGCATAATCATTGATGTTAGATTTCATGTCGCTGTCTCCCGCTGTTTTGCCGTGGTGCCGGAAGCGCCGGCTGGGTTTGGCGTCCATCCGTCGGGTAAAGTTCCTCCGTCGGTAGTTTTCTGGCGTCGCAAAACGTATCAGCCGGGCTCGTTTGGCTGCAGTCGCATGCATACCTTGAGCGGGGCCGAGGCGCCGAGGTTTGCCCGGCGCGGCAGCGGGAGCCGGCTCCGGAGCGATCGGGAGCCTGGTTTATGTAAGCCTTGAGCGGAGTCGAGGCGCCGGGGTTCACCCGGTGCGGCAGCGGGAGCCGGCTCCGGCGCGATCGGGAGCCTGGTTTATGTAAGCCTTGAACGGAGTCGAGGCGCCGGGGTTCACCCGTGTGGCAGTGGGAGCCGGCCCCGGAGCAATCGGGGGCCTGGTTTATGTGCGAATTTTCACAGTTCACAATACTAATTGCAGGCTGTAATTGTAGTTGCTTGCTGTTCGCTATATGTGTGTTCTCATGCCTCATTCGCTTTGCAAAGTGACTGCATGCTGGTGTAATAAAGCATGTGTAAATGACGTGAAGTTAACTCTAAATGCATCGTGCCGTTAGCAGCAGGATATACTAACTCTTGACTTGACACACTGCTTGAGTCGTTTCCGAGAGCCAGTCCAGAAGCAACAGCTGAACGTGATGTGCTCCTCGTTTGACTGATGCACAAGCGAAAACGTTCAACAGGTGTCCAGCGTGCCTAGTTGCGGAAATGATAGTAGCGACTTAATTATTACGGACCTCCGGCCGGACATGTTTATGTAGCTAAAAAGGAACAGTTACCTTGGCGTGCGCTCGGCACAAATGTCCACGGCAATGTCTGTAATGGCATGCTAATTTTTGTCATTGCTGCGCCTTTGATGCACGACTCAGTGCGCACTGACCAGGTTTGGACCGGGGCCGTGGGCTGGGTGCGTCTCTCAGTGACGGCCGGCTGGTGTAACGGTGACGGCTGGCTTTGCGGGGTAGTCACCCCCGATTGCCTCACCTCATCGGACTGCGCTTGACCGGCCCGGACTGTGTGCCGGCGGGCCGCCGCTGCAGGTGCTGGACTCGGCCATCTCGGCCTTCATCCTGGAGGTGGTGGTGCGACACGGCGAGCCGGCCCAGCGGCTCTGCAACAAGGACCCGTTCACCATCAAGTCGGCCACCTACCTGCGCCAGCTGTTCCCGCGGGCCAAGTTCATCTTCATGGTGCGCGACGGTCGCGCCACCGTACACTCCATCATCTCCCGACAGGTCAGTCATCCGACCGACCCTCCGACGCCCCGAGCAGCGCTGGCGTTATGCGTGGGATTGCGCGCTGCGATCCTCTGGCGAAATAACGGCTACCTGGAATAATCGCCAACACGAGTGCGTTTTTTTTTTTAAATCTCTGCGTTTCATGATCGCTGCAAGTGACAACATTTCTTAACTAATCAGCTTCCAGCGTGCTGCCGCGCTTACCAATCATTAGCCCTGACGCCAGGAATGTACCCACCACTTGGATGCACCAGTGATGACGCCCCCCTGCAGGTGACGATCACGGGGTTCGACCTGAAGAGCCACCGGCAGTGCATGCAGCGCTGGAACATGGCCGCCGACACGATGAACCGCCAGTGCCAGGAACTGGGCGCCAACTGGTGTCTGCGCGTGCCGTACGAACAGCTGGTGCTGCACCCGCGCACCTGGATGGAGCGCGTGCTACACTTCCTGGACGTGCCCTGGAACGAGACGGTGCTGCACCACGAGCGCACCATCAACAAACCGGGCGGCGTGTCACTCTCCAAGTGAGTGCTGACCTGCGGTGGTCGCCGCAGGCTGGTCGGTTTCGCCGCAGTCGAGCCCCCGGCGCGCGCGCTGCGTCGCACTGCCGCTCGGTGGTGACTGGTGTTTCGATTCTTCGCTAGGAGCTATAGTGCCCGACTTTTAGTCCGACTGATAGAAAATGCATTGTTCGCGATTTGCGATGTGTACAGAAGGCTGTGATTTATTAGCTCGCTTAGGCCCTGGCCGTGGCTGCCGGAAATCGGGCTTGATTTCTGGGTGAAATATAACTTGACTGCTGCTGGGTACTCATTAAGGTAATGAGCGCGGCATAATGTAATACAAAAGCGTGGCCAATTGGTCGACGATGGCGGCCATGCGGCTTTCAAAGGCACCCTCATTGGGCCTGAATCCGAGATGGCCGTTGTCTGCCGGCAGTATGTACACATTTTCAACAGCTAGCCCCGTGGGGTGCCGACGGTGCCCCAGGCTATATTGTACTCCGCGAGAGCCTCTTTTGTCATCGTGTGCGAGCCGGCGTGTCCGTTGAGGCCGACGCTGGTGCCCTGACCCGGGCCCGGGCCGCAGGGTGGAGCGCTCCTCCGACCAAGTGATCAAGCCGGTCAACGTGGACGCCCTGACCAAGTGGGTGGGCAGCTTCCCGGAAGACGTGGTGCGCGACATGGCCGAGCTGGCGCCCATGCTCAAGACGCTGGGCTACGACCCGCACGCCAATCCGCCCGACTACGGCCGGCCCGACCCGGAGGTGGACCGCAACACGCTGCAGGTGCGCGCCGAGAGCGCCGCCTGGCGCCAGAGGGCGCAGCAAATTCTGGCGCGCCGCAAGCGCTCGCGGCGCGCCGGCCGCCCGGAGCAGAAGCTGTAGGCGCCGGTTGTACGGCGCCGCCGGCCGCGGCCCACTGCGCTCAGGGTGCCAGCCACCGGGCCTCGGCGGCGCGCTCTGGCGGACGGGGTTGGTAGACGGGTACAGGTGGCCCGCTGTCCGGCGGGCTACGTGCGACGGGCAGCGGGCCGCGCGAGATGCTTTGGTCGAGGGAGAGAGAATGAGAGCGTGAGGTACCGGACGGCAGACGGCGTACACGCCATGCGCCGGACACTCAATATCAATAGCTATCAGGCGCGCCAGGCGCTTAGGGGTCCAGGCTGAAGAGCAGGAGCCAAATTCCGAGGCGCGCCCCAGTCTTTCCAAACTTTATCAGCCCTGCCGGCAAAAGTTGAGCGCCGCTCGCTCCACGTCTGTTCTGCTGGCCGTCAAACCTACATTCACTATCACGGGGCAGGTTAGAAGACCCGGCTTGTGGATGATCGATTGCGTTGTGGATTCGCGTCAAAATATTCTGTATTGGTCGCAACGGTGCCCTGGGTTTCCTACTCAGTGGATAAACCGGCGTCATTTAGTTGTCGGCACTGAGGAAAATGTCATATTTTGAAGCCGTTTAAAGTGGAAATATGGAGCAGCGGATAGTGTAAAGCACGTAGCTGTGATTCCCGTTTTTTCGTTTCCGTGTGTTCGTTTGCTATATCGTAGTGCCAGTTAGCCACAATTTAACAGCCGCTTTTAAATGCCCCGCATATCCGTCGGTTGCGAGCGACTTCGTTGAGGTCCAATTCCATGAACTCGTCTGCACGTCGGAGATAAGAATGTAAATCCTTCGTGCCCGGAACACCCTGGAGATTCAGCGAGGTGTCTCGGACCGCTGCCCTGAACACTTCCCGCTGTGGGGAGCCCCTCCCCCTCCCAGATAGTGATCGGCGCCGCTCAGCGGCTGGTCGGTGAACTGCAACAGGTGCAGCGGTCGACCTGTAGGCGGCCAGGCGGGTATTGTCGCTCACTGAATGGGACCTCTGCTATGGCTGCCGTGGTCTATCGTGAACCGTGCCCCACCCCCTGCAGCGGCAGCGGCCGTTGTGGGCCCGGCGTCGGCTGCGGCCGCCCTCTCTCTGGCGGCATCCGTCCCGTCGGCAGCGGCGGGCCAGCCGGCGCGGCCCGCCGGGCGCCTGGTGTGCGTCCATGCGCACGCGCACCAGTGTGGCGCCGCGTGCTCCCTGTGTTCAGATCAGGTCACATTCGTCCGCCGTCCCACGACTAACCCGCTGAGCTCAACGGGAACAGCGGAATTCCCAGACTCCGTCAGCAGAAGTACCTACCAAGCTGTGTCACGTTGTGGCGATAAGGCCGGGCCCGTCGGGCCGAGTCGCCATTTTCGCCCCTCTGTCGTTGCCGACGTTCCTGCCATACGTTGTGTGACCATGCGATTAGCGTGGAGAGCTGTTGTGTTACTCAGCACGCCAGCTCAAACGTTCGTGACTGGAATGCTGCCGCCCAGTGTTGGCTAGCCGGCATGTTTCTGTGACACTTTGCATGGCTGTGTGGCTGCCTGACTCGGCTCCGTGGCGCGCCGTGGTGCGCCGGTGCCAGCCGCGCGTCAGCCGCGGCTGCTGTGCGGCTGCCGGACGTACGCTGGCGTCCCGCTGACGGCGCGCGCGGCCCGTCCACAGAGGAGCTGACCGGACGCAGCGCCGGCCACCGCCCGGCTCGCATGTCTGCCCTGTCTGCCGCCCGTCCGCCCGCCTGCCGCCTGCCGCTTCCGAGCCCGCCCGCCCGCCTGCTCCCGTCTGGCGCCGTTTTGTGTTTGCTGCACGGGTCGTCACGCGCCATGCCAGTGCGGATTTAGTCGCTTGTTATGCTGCATAATGTTCAGCATTTTGTTTGTGCCCGCTTGCGCGAGTGGCCACGTTTGCACAGCGTTTGTTTGTTTGTTCGTTTTTGTTTGCTCGCGTGCATCACGCTGAGTGTGTGATGTCGTGCGCTGATGTACGCATGCTGCAGCCCAGTGGGAAGTCAGGGCTGTAGTGGGGCTTGGGTGCCGTACAACCTCGCGTAGTAGCGTGCTGGGCTGACTGAGCTACTTACGGCTACTTAAACCTAAGGCCGGCCACGATATTTCGGGCTTGACGACCAGAGCACAAAAGAACGCGGCTCCATTTGCTGAAAACGCCATGACCGGGTCGCATTGCAACGCCCCCTGTTGCACTGATGACATTAAGCGTTTTATCTACAATCACTGCCCTTGAGTAGTGCGGAAAGCGTTATTTACTTAATAACCCAGCGTAACCTCGCTTCTTTGTTCTTGTCTGCATTACTTTGATTTCAGACACATTTAGTATGTCTCAAATCATGCACCATGACGATAAGGTAATTTGTGTTCATACGAAGACATTACTTTCAGAGCGCATGCCGGCATGTGCTGGACGAAGTCCAAGAGCATGCATACTTAACACCATGACGTGCAATCGTCACATGTACATGACTGCATGCATGGTCCGTGACTCCGCCGGTCCGAGCGGGGCGGCGCGCCGAACGGGCATGGCGAGGGGTTGCTCTTGTGTCGTGTCGTGTCCCCGCCGCGGCCTCGGCGGGGAGGGGGGGGGGGGGGGTCAGCGCCCCGCTCGGACCGGCGTCGGGAGGTCGATGTGTCGCGCCTCCCCCGGCGTCCCGGACGGCGGGTCCGGGCTGACTGTGTGACGGCGGCCGGCCGTCGGCGCGCCGCTGTAGATCGCGAGTGCGTGAGAGGCTCACTGCGCTGTGCAGGGCAGTGTGCGTGACGCGCTTGTATTCAGTGTGGACCGCTGACGACATGGGATGTTTGTGGTGTGACCCCACCGGATTGCGACGTAGTTGGTAGCCCGATCTGCACCCCACGTTCAATGAAATGTGACTGGACAGCGTTGAGCTTCCGTGCTCCTGGTATTGACGAGATGGCGCCAATAAAGTACTCCATGCCTAACAAGTACAGTGTGTCCTGCTGCTAAGGTTTTCAGGGCCCCACTGCGGCAGAGCATCAAGCTGATGAACCTGCCAGCACGTGATGTCTATGCGGCATCTGCTGTGAGTGTTAAGTTACGTCTGAGGCCAACACTACTGTAGTACCACTCGCGTAACGTGAGTGACGCTGATGCCTGCCTGAGGGTTCAGCGTCCGTGCCTGCATTCGGTGAGCTAACCTGGTTCTTCCGCTTCTGCTCGAGTCTCGTCAGCGCATTCCTCCAATGACGTATGAAGTGCGCCAGAGGTAACCTACGCCACGTAAACAGCGAGTACGGCTTCAACAGCCTCAACCGACAGCGACATTCTCCGAATGGGTGCGTGAGCAGCAGCCAGTGGCGACCCATAACCATGCAATTCAGAATTGACTGCGCGTTATTCCTGAATGTAAGTGCTTCGGGGCTGTCGACTGTAATTTAAATGTGTGAACCGTTTTCTTTGGTTCCAAGGCAGCTAGAGGGCTGCAGTTTCCCATCCCACCGACGGCGTCCGAGGAGGTGCCCTGTAACATGAACACTGGCGGTGTGCGACACCGCTCACCTTCCGTGGCGTTACGACCACTGTTCGCCCATGTAGGACCACGGCCAACGAACGTCCACCCACGTCCACCTTCACGTTGACGTGCCGGCCATTGATCGCACACGGCAGAACCACGCTCAATCAACGTCGTATTAAAGCCCAACGCCGTCTGGGCTTCAAACAGGAAGTGGGTAAATGGCGCTGCAGGTGCCTCGGACGGCGAACGAGGAGGCGCGCGGCGGCCGCGGCGCACACCAACATTGCCAGTTAACCGACAGACCGTGATGCTTCGTCTGCATGTATATCCTGTGCACGTGGGTGGAGGTAAATGTGTGTGAGCGCCTTCGCCGTTCGTGTCCAGGACTGACTTACAGACGATGAAGCACGCGTTCCACTGACTTGTACAGATACCAGGCATTAATGTGCCATTGCACCAGCCCTGTCCCACAAAACGTAGCACATCCAGAACTGGACACATCTACATCGTATATTTTCGAGGTCGGAGTTTGTGGCGATTCACCAATGTTCGAGCACGGCATCAAACGGCAAAACATCCAGATAGGACGATACACATTAGTATCCACTTCTGATAATGATTTAACTAAGCCAGAGTTCGAACGTGAGGGTGGCGGACACAAGGGTAAAAGCAAGAAATCTGCAAAATAATCACTGCAATGACAGGTCCGGCCGAACCCGTCACAGTTGCCGCGAGTCCTCGCGCAACCGTGTTGAACATCATGAAGTATGCAGGTCATAGTTCCAGCATCAATATCATCGGCAGAAGTAATCAACCTAGCTGAAGACAACCGCTATCAAGGCCCTTCTACATCTGTGGCGGCGAACAGGGTCTCAAAAACCGATGAATACGGCGAACAGGGTGTCACAAACCGATGAATACGCCCCCCGCCCCATCCTTCACATCTTGCTGTAAACATGAACGGGGTGAAACCGCGATGCCCAGCCTCCCCAAACCTCGGCCTCGTCGTTACGGCCCAATCGGGCGGCACACGCAGAAGGTGCAATCAGGCTTGGACATGATTCCGCCCACCGGAATCCTCCACGAGACCTACTCACAGCGCACGAGGTCCGCTCCTACGCTTCGAACCGTCCTACTCCCCAGCTTCAAACAGCACAGCGCAGGCTTGAGCCGGTCCTGACTTCGACTCAAAAGGATCTGACTCTAAGCAGAAACTGATTTCGATGGAGTAGACGCCGATAAGACAGTAGAATTAGACTTATTCCTTGGAAAAAAGGGCAGAATGGAGAAATAGTTAGGTTGATATTTCGGAAACATGCCTTTATCGAAACAATAGCTTAGGTCTTTGTTTCAACTGCTGTCTTCAGCTATTGTTTCGATGAAGGCATGTTGCCGAAATATCAAGCCAACTATATCTCCATTTTCCTGGTTTTTCGAGGAATAAGGCTACTACTACTGTCTCATATATGTGAATAATGCTCCTCGCCAATGCACCGAACGACTTACGAGTCGACACCGATGATAATCTACGAAACAATTTGCTCTACAGACAACCCTAACGGCCGCGCTTGGCACAGGTCTGATAAGACAGCGACCTATTGAGTGTTCCATTTGTTGTGCGTTAATTTCGAGAGTCTTTTGTTACGCTCATATATCATAAGGCCAACGAATCGATGACTTAAATCAACCCGGTAGACTCAACTCCTCGCACTCGGGCGGTACACACTTCGAAAGGAGTGGATTGGACGTGGACTCAGAACTCAGACTCAGAACTTCGTCGATATCGAAGCCAACTCTGACTCCGTATGGGGAAAAGCACAATTCTGGATGTAATATTTTGCCACGTCATGTCATTGGAGCTTTACAGGCGTAGTCAGCTGGCGAAGCTAAGTGGCGTCACCAAGCCCACTCTGGCAGGGAAGGGCGGGAACCGCTGACAATCAAACCCCGCACGTCTGGCTTCACAGACGCCCAGTTTAACCACTACCCTGCTGGTGCCCTGGTAAAAGGATCAGGCAGTTTAGGGAGAACGAACAAAACGGCATCAAGGTGAGTAACAAGCTTACAGCAGCCGGTGCCCGGCGGTGAAACACAGCCTCTCAGCTCTTCTCTCTCCCCCCCCCCCCCCCCCCACTCCAGCTCTTACTCTCCCTACAAAAGCGCCAACTGTCCTCCTGCCCCTCCCCTCCTGCCCAGCTGTCCCCGGCTAATGGGACGGCGGCCCAGCAACACACACGCGTCGTCCTCCGTCCTCCGGCCGTCGCTCATGTGTTCCAGTAGTGGCTCTGGTTCAGGTCGAGCCGCAGGGCTGTGAACGCTTTGTCGGAGAGCAGACACCACGGGTGGCCGAGCAGGCGCGCCACCTCGGCCTCCGTGACGGCGAACGAGCGCGCCGCTGCGCAAAGCCAGCCGTGGAACTCGGGCGACCACTCGGGGCTACGCGGCCAGTCGGCGCGCAGCAGCACGGCGTTGCCGCGCACCAGCAGGTGGCGCAGGTTCTTGCCAGTGTGCGCCAGCAGCAGCACGGTGGCCGACGAGATGCGCTCGCGCACGATCTGAGGGCGGCGCACGCGCCGGCCGCGTCAGCTGGCGGCTCAGGGGGCCGGCCGGCCTTCCCGGCGGGTGTGGAGCATGGGAGAGGGGGCGAGGGTGGGCGGGTGTGGACGACGGGAGCGGCGCGGGGGCGGGGGCGGGGGCGGGGGCGGGGGCGGGGGCGAGGGCGGGAAGCGGGGGGCGAGAGCGTGAGGGTGGCAGGTGAGACAGGCAAGAAGCACGGGAGGCCATTTGTATGAACCGATCAATGGGAGCGTCGCTGAACATCGACACAATCTGGGCGGAAGTCGAGATGTTTTATCCGGAGTCACACTCCCACACGCTTGTGTCAATGCTCAGGTATGTCCGGATCCATCTCAATCGAATGCCTTCGTGTCGGTGGCTCCCCTCTGCAATAAAGGCTCAAGCATGCCACAATTGTCTGACAACCATGGTGTGCTATTCCAGCGCACTTTGAGAAATTATTCCTGGAACCTAGTTCTAACTGCTTAATTCGGATGTCATTGAGCAGCCGACCCGGACGTAGTAGTCTGACCCGAACGTAGTTTTAGAAAACTTAGTCACGGATCTACGTACTTCTG